CTCGGCGGCGGGGCGCGCTTTCTGGGCGGGTCGGCACACGCAGCAGGAGGGGAAGGAGGAGGGGAGGGAGGAGGAGGAGGAGGAGGAGGAGGAGGAGGAGGAGGAGGAGGAGGAGAGAAGGAGGAGGAGGAGGAGGAGGAGGAGGGAGAAGGCCAGCCCATGAGCTAAAGTTTGCCCAGCGTCAAGGGGGAAGGAGAAGGAGGCTGCCGCTTCAGGCGCCGTATGCGCATTTCAGCATTCTCAATCAAAAGAGGGCACGAGGGAGGAGGAGAAGGGGAGAGGAGAGGGAGGGAGGAAGGCACAGGAGGGACAGGGGCAGGGGGAGGAGGAGCAGGAGCATGGGGAGGGGAAGAGGAGAGGGAGAGATGACGAAGGAGAAGGGTCAGGACAAGGAGGGTCAGCGCACGCCGTATGAGGATTTAGAATATTGCATTGCGCTTCGTCTGAAAGCTGGCCAATCTGCCAGCTGGATACGAAGCGTCTGTACTATCGACCCTTGGTTGAGGGTTTCGACTTCCACTGGAGACTGCTGGCTCCGAAGGAGGCCTGCTTGTCATTATCGTCATCATCCTCGTGCTCCTCATCCCCCCCCTCCTCCTCCTCCTCCTCCTCCTCCTCCTCCTCCTCCTCCTCCTCCTCCTCCTCCTCCTCCTCGTCCTCGTCCTCTCCTCCTCTTCCTCTTCCTCCTCCTTTTAACTTTTGCCAAACCTGAATCCTAGAAGTGCGGCGCTGTTGTGCAATCCGCCGATCTGGCGTGTGAGTTTATGAGAGCGTGGGTTTGAGCTCGCTCAAACTTCGCTCTGTCGGGGGGGGGAGCTGACGCCAAGCAGGCCCGGGAGGAGGAGGGGGGGAGGGGGCTGACGCCATTCAGGCCCGGGAGGGAGGATGGGTAGGGGGGGCGCCCCTCAGGCCAGGGAGGAGGGGGGGGGGTGGAGGCTTCGCTCTGTCGAGGGGGGGGGGGGGGGGGGTGGACGCCATTCAGGCCGAGAGGGAGGAGGGAGTGGGGGGGTGGGGAACGCATTGGATTAGAGAGGGGGGTGAGGGGGAACACCATTGCTAACGCCATTCAGGCGCGGAAGGGGGGGGGACGGAACGCCACGGAGATGAGGAGGGGGGGGGAGGGCCCTGACGCCATGGCTGACGCCGTTCAGGCCCGGGAGGGAGGAGGGGGGGGGGGGGAACGCCATGGCTGACGCCATTCAGGCCCGGGAGGGGGAAGTCGGGGGGAGGGGAGGGGCGAGGAAGTTCCGGCTGACGCCATGGCTGACGCCATTCGGGCCCCCGGGGGGGAACGCCATGGGAAGGAGGGAAGGGGGGGGAACGCCAAGGCTGACGCCATTCAGGCCCGGGAGGAGGAAGTCAGTGGAGAAGGAGGGGGAGGGGCTGACGCCATGGCTGACGCCATTCAGGCCCTGGGGGGGGGGGGTCTGACGGGGAGGACGGGCGGGAAAGCTGAAGCCATAGCTGACGCCATTCAGGTCCGGGAGGGAGCAGGGGGGGGGCTGACGCCATGGCTGAGCTGACGCTATTCAGGCCCGGGAGGAGGGAGTCGGGGGGAGGGGGGGGGTGGGCACACGCATGGTATGCTGAGGCATCAGGCCGGGAGGGCGGAGGGAGGGGAGGGGGGGGAACGCGATAGGGAGCGAGGGGGGGAGGAAGGGAACGCCATGGCTGACGCCCTTCAGGCCCGGAAGGAGGGAAGTCAGGAGGAGGGGGAGCGACGCCATTGTGACGCCATTCAGGCCCCGGAGTCTGGGTAGGGAGGGGGGGGCGGAGGGCTGACGCCATGGCTGACGCCGAAGTCGGAGGGATATGGGGGCGGGGGGGGGAGGGGGGGGGCTGACGCCGTGGCTGACGCCTTTCAGGCCCGGGAAGGAGGAGGGGGGGCGGGAGGGGGGGCCCCATGGGGGGAGGGGAGGGGGGGGAACATGGCTGACGCCATTCAGGCCCAGGAGGGGGGAGGAGGAAGGGGGGGGCGGTGTCGCCATGGCAGACGCCATTCAGGCCCGCGAGGGAGGAGTCGGGGAGAGGGGGGGGAGGGCTGACGCCATGGCTGACGCCATTCAGGCCCGGGAGGGGGGAGGGAAGGGGAGCTCGCTCAAGCTTCACTCTGTCGGGGGGGGTTGACGCCATGGCTGACGCCATTCAGGCTCGGGAGAGGAGAGGGGGGGGGAGGGCCGACGCCATGGCTGACGCCATGGCTGACGCCATTCACGCCCAGGGCGGGGGAGTCGGGGTGGGCGGGGGCTGACGCCATGGCTGACGCCATTCAGGCCCGGAAGGTGGGAGGGGACATCCCATGAGTTTGGCTCTTCACGCGAGATCGTCACTTTCGAATGTCCGAAGGTTGCCCAAGCGAGTGCAACATCTCTATCTTATGAGGATGTCTCGAGCGAGTGCTTCACTTCTAAACATAAAAGGTCATCCGTTGCAAGCAGAATCGGTAGCACTCCAGATCGGCAGCAACGGCCGGAGGGTACTACAATAACAACAAGAATAACGATACCCGACTTGACGCACAAGGTGCCTGGCGAGCGCCGCGGGGAAGGCAGGAAGACAAGCAAAACGGCAAATAACGGTTCCGAAAGTAGGCGCCCGCCAGGCAGAAGAGGTCAGCAGGCACCTGACAACAATTTGGACGCCCGAAATGTTGTCCGCCCAATAAACCAAAAAGGACCTGAGTAAACCGAAGTACCCAACCCCCTCCAATGTTGTAAGGTACTTGCTGCCGTGGCAGAAGGCCGAATAAGGCGAGGCGCCAGTGCAGGGGTGGTACAGGCTGTGCTGGCTGCCCCAGCGTCAATCTAGGAGGCAAGTGAAAAGTTACATTAAGAGGAAGACGATACATTGAGGGATGCAAAAACGCCCCTACCCTGGGTTACAAGTGCGTGGTCTGTAAACCTCCCGGGAGCTCCCGCAGGCCAGAGAGCCGCCAGGACGCCGCGCGGCACGTGCGAAACGCAGGGTTTACCGTGTCAGCCCACAGGAGGTTAAGCGCACAACGACTCATAAACCAGGGTAGGGGCGTGTCTTACGTCCTTGAAAATGAGAAATGACATTAGGAGGAAGACAATAAAGCAAGTGAGTGGGGTGGCTGGAAGAAGAGGTGATGTGCTGGCACCATGTGCGACATGCCCCAAAAATATGCAATCCTTGGGTTGCTGCCCTTGCTTACGTAAGAGCAAACTCCCCCCATGCAATGTCATCGGCATCCCGATAATCCATGTCTGCGAACAGAACGGAGAGGCTGGAGGTGTGAGGTAGACCTAGAGGTGGACTGGACGCTGCAGGAAGGCTTCAAGTGGCTGGCGGAAGAGTACATACGGGGCAGGCACCATAAGCGCCGCTGCCCTAGTGCAACACGAGAACCGGCTGGCATGTTGGACGTGCGGCCACCATGAAATGTGCGCGTCGTCACAAAATGATGAATTCCTGGGGCTGCTACACTACGTCATAACGTAAGACCTAAAGCCAAACACCCACACACACACACACACAACCTGCGAAATCCGTACAAAAAACAAACAGGTCACCCGACAATACAAAACAGAAGCCGCATACGACCCACACCCGACCTGTCAAAATGTAAGAAGAAACGTCTGTGCAGGGCTGGCACAGGCCGTGCTGGCCGGCCTAGGTGCAATTCTACGGCTGCGTCCCGTACAGGCAGGCGAGCTGGCATGATCAGTGCACGGCTGGCCGAAGTATGCAACGCTTGGGCTGCTATCCTTGTTATCGTAAAAGTGAAGTCCCTCCCGACCCCAAATAGCGCTATGGCCACCTCATCCCCCAGGTCCATATCTGCGAACGTAACGGAGAAGGTGCTGACAGTGGGTGCTGTGGGTTGGAGGCGCGAGGTAAGACAATAGAGGTGGACTGGACGCTGCAGTATGGCCTAGAGCCGCTGGCAGAAGGGTACGGGGCAGGCACCATCAGGGGAGCTGCCACATTGTAACACAAGAAGTGGTTGGCAGAAGAGACGTGCGGCTGACACGGAAAGTGCGACTCTTCGCCAAGTCTGCAATCCTGGGGCTGCTACCCTACTTAAGAGAAGCGCCTGTATGGGGCTGGCACAGTCTGTGCAGGCTGAACTTAGTGCAATTCGAGGGCTGCTACCCGTACAGGCAAGTGGGGGTGGCTGACAGGAACGTGTATGACAGTGAAGCTGTAGGAGAGAGGACAAACGAGAGTGGTGGACTGGACTCTGCGGGTTGGCCTTGAGTGGCTGACAGAGAGGGTATGGGGCAGGCACTGTACATACGGCTGCTCCAGTGTACCACAAGAGCGGCTGGCAGAAAGTGTGTGGGGCTAGCGCGGTAAGTGCGAGTCGTCCCGAAGTAATGCGCTCCTGAGGCTGCAGCCCTAGCCCGTGTAGTCCTCCTCCTCCTCCTCCTCCTCCTCCTCCACCTCCTCTTCCTCCTCAGCAGCAGCAGCATGAGCATTCTCCCTCACTCAATAACCCCACTCCCTCCCTCCCTCCCTCCCTTCTGCCGCCTCCTCCTCCTCATCTCCCCTCCTCCTCCTCCTCTCCTCTCTCCTCCTCCTCTCCTCCCTCCTCCTCCTCCTCCTCCTCCTCCTCCTCCTCCTCCTCCTCCTGCTCCTCCGCCGAATCCCACTATATCCCGATACCCCCTCCAGGAGTCTACAGAAACCTCCCTGCACCTCAGGAAACCATATACAACCTCCTGGAACCACTGAGCAATACTCCTCCTCATTATCAGCATCATCATCACCACCACATCATCACCACCACCATCATCATCATCATCATCATCCTCCTCCTCCTCCTCCTCCTCCTCCTCCTCATCATCATCATCATCGTCATCATCATCATCACCATCACCACCACCACCACCACCACCATCATCATCATCGTCATCATCATCATCATCATCATAATCATCATCATCAGCGTCATCATCATCACCATCATCATCATCATCATCATTGCCATCGTCATCATCATCACCATCAGAAGCAACAACAACATCACCATGATA